CCCCCCCCCTCACCGGTTGCTAACACATTTTACAAAATCTTGCAATATGACATGAGATTGCCCATATTATTTTCAAGATTTGGCCAAAAGGACTATAACTCCATTCTTTTTCAACATAAGATGATTTTAGTTGAAAACTGTGAAATGAAAAGAGGCGGGTTATCTACATTCTTAGTTAAATGAACACTGTCACAGAATAAAAATCTGCACATCTTTCCCAAGCAGCACCAAAAAGAGAGGATGAAAATAAAGCAGATTGTTTTAAATGCTTCATATCAACACTCAACAAAAAGCATCTTAACTGATTTGTCTCCTTCTTTAGACACAGAAATACACAGGCATATATTTAAACCCTTTTTTGTAACTAATTATTATTTCTAAACTCTTAAGTTGTGACGTTGCTTAAGTCGTATTCATATTATCAAGTAAGTTTTTCTATCAATTCTGCTTTTATTGAGTGAAAAGGTTGATTTTCTGCTTCCTGAGTGCACCTTGTTTCCATAAACTCGTGTGACTTCCCTTGCATTGCTGAAGCAGAGCTACTCTTGTTTCTTATTTCCCCCCCRTAAGCTGCAAGTTTATTGTCAGCAAAGGGCTTTTTAGTCCACAAAACTGGCTGGGATCGGTAAATTATAATCAGGAAAAAGAAAATTTATCTAAAAGCAACAATGGAAGATATTGCCCGTGTTAGGTTTTGATTGAATTTGTGTTGTGTCGGGCTCAGACACCTGTGGCCCATTGGGCTGCTCACTTTGTTTCACTTTGTTGCCAGACCAAAATGGAACAACAGGGGGGCATTTTAAATTGATTCACACTGACTAATTTATGATTCATATCTGCCACCTGTGGCTTGGTGTAGTGGTTTATTGGAGAGCTGAGTGTCTGCACTTTACTGCCCGACAACAACAGCGGAAATAAAAGCTTTGGGATTGTTTTCATTTTATAGTTATTTTATTATTCTAAAAGAAAAAAATGTTAGTTTTGTCTGGTACTGGCCTTACACTTGATTTTATTATTTTAAAAAAAACATCCAGAAACTGTTATTTTTCCTGAAATTTAACCCCTAAAAGTTTGCTTCCAGAAATACCTGTTGAACTCTTTCTTTTGATGGTTTCTGTTGCAGAATTCRGACCCAGTTCACGACATGCTCCTAGATGTCATCACCTGGGTTGGCATCCTGCTCTCACTGGTGTGCCTCCTCATCAGCCTCTTTACCTTCTGCTTCTTCCGCGGCCTACAGAGTGATCGCAACACTATCCACAAGAACCTGTGCATCAGTCTTTTCATCGCCGAGTCGCTCTTCCTGGTGGGGATCAATCGGGGGGACCAACCAGTAAGTAGATTGAGAAAAATCAAAGGAAAAGAAAACTTACAAACTACTACTWTATGTTTGTAATAATTCAGACTGAACTAAAACATAAATCTGTAAAGTTTTATGTGGGAAGAATAGACCATATTTACAAAATAGAACATTTTATGCTAAACAAATGGGAAAAATATATTTTAATGTTTTAAAAGAGACAAATCATGCTTTTAAATACTTTTTTCGCACTTAAATCATGCAATTGGGGTCTGTATAAAGTGGAACTGCAATTATTTGATCTAAATTCCTCCTTATTGTAACTCCACAAGTCCCCTTTTCACCCCTTTTCTGAGGTGTGTCTCAGATCAACTTATTTTGAGGCTGTCTCATTAAATCCAAATGTAGCGTTTCAAACCCACCCCCCTCTAACTTCCAGAGTGGTCCATTCTAGTTTGATAACAGGATTTACATCTATAGATACGCAGAAACATTTTATTTAGAAATTAATTAAAACATGTCAACAAAGTCCAATCCGGAGCGAGAGGAGAATGAAGACAACAATATTGTAGTCAGTAAGTCCAGACCTTATTTGGCAGTTCTGTCGCAAATATTTTGATGTAGTAGTTCAGGAAATGTCAGAGAAAACAGAGAAAACTGTACAAGTTGAAAAATATGACCCAAACATAATATAAAGATATCTACGCAGCACTGGTAGAGACTAAATTCACGTTTTCTTCACTCCTACAGACTCAAAAACAAAAGTCAGATCAGTTCATCCCATTAGGGAGAAGTGACAATGTTCATGAAAACAGAATGAATATTAAATGAAATTGTTTGTGTGCAAAATTGTTCTACAATATGTAATGAACAGGACTGGGTCGATTATAGAGCCCTGTGGGACACCCCATGAGAAACCCAGTGCCCCCATATGCTTATTAGACTGTTCTATTATTAACCTTTATTTAACCAGGCAAATCCCATTGAGATCATGGATCTCTATTGCTAGGAATCCCTAGGCCTGAAGGCAGCCTAACGTGTGCTTTTTGGTCAGTGGGAGGAAACCAGAGTACCCAGAGAGCGCAAGCAGAACATGCAAACTACACATGAGTAAGAATGAGTAAGAAATGAACAGTACTGTATGCAGAGTGTAAAATGTTTAGTATAAATCACTGAAGGAAAGGGAGAGGTTAAAATGCACAATACACAATAAACAATACATCAGTTCAAATCGGTTCATCTATGGATACTGTATTTATACTGTATTTATTCAGTATATACGTATTTATATTCTCATCCAGCCCAAGTTCCCAGCTGTGGCTCAAACAACTCTAAGTTGGTCTTTTCACTGTGTCATAAAGGAAAAAAGTGCATTTCTTCTGCCAAGATGCATCTCCCCTTAAGGCTGTCCACCTTCTTCACTCCTCAGTCAAAAAATGTTTTGGAGAAAAACTCATAACCTTTGGTGTCCCGCTGCGCTGTGAGTGAGGTGCCCCGCTGGGTGTCAGCGGCCCTGGACTATTTAGATTCTTCTTGGCTCAGTGAAAAGAAACTCTGAGAGCAAAGAACTGTGGGTTATTTATTCAACAAAATCTACCTCCCATGGTTGTGCAGAGGAAAACACATCCTTCTAAACACGCTTTACATACACAAACAAAAATCTGCCAACTCACTTGCGCACACATTCGAGATCACTGCTGTATTAATCATCAATTCACCCCTGGAAAAGAAAATAATATTTTTTTTTCAATTTGCTACCACTTCAGGCTAATCTGGATTAAGCACATGAGATACTAAAACCTTCTTCCAGTATATTAACTGCACTTTGAATGGCATTTCTTTTCTGCAAAGAGCTCAGCTGTGGTAGCAGGTGGWGACGTGCCGTCACTGCGCAGTCATCTTCAGCTGTGTGTGCTCAGCTCTCACACAGCAGATAAATGTGGAGTCATTATGTGTGTACGGGTTGGCTTTTATCCACCTGCAGCTTCTCACAGTCCTGCCATTTTTTATATGGTAATGAGGCAGGCGACGCTCTTAGCCTTGCTGCCCTGGATCAGACAATCAAACGCACGCAGCTGACAGTCTTTCGGTTTGATTGCCCACCCTTCACAGTTCAAAACTTATTAATCAATATGAATTGAAGAACGGATGTAACCCTAGTGTTTTATTTTTCAAACACATCGACTCTTTCCTCTTTGAATATCATAAATGTTAGAGCTAAAAATCACAGACATTACTGAAGCCACAAAGCTAACTTCCTGTGAAGTTAAAGATGATGCTGTTGGCCTGCACCTTTTCCTCCCATAACGTTTTATGGCTCTGACTCAGAGCCCAGCAGTAGAGTTGCTGTCCTGGACTGCAATTAATGTCCACTCAACCTTTTAGTATTTAACCGGATCCATTTTGGTGACAAAATACCCCAGTTATGTTCAACTGTGCCAATAATTGGATCAATCCATGGAAAGATTGTATCTTAGGGAGCGTTCGGTCATGTGAACGACCATTTGCTGTGTTCACGTATGTGCATGGACCATTCTACGTGTTCTCACCTGGCCGGGAACTGGTTCTAAATGGTTTTTGGACTGTTCATTTCATGTCTTCATATTCCTTCCTTCGTCCGAGCCAACAACAGCAAACAAGACCGCACGGGCTCAGTACCAGCAGTGTTCTACTGCCAGTCAGCACAGGCAAACGTCCAGTCCGTTCGGCCAAACAAAGCTGAGCGACACTAATTGTTTTAGACACTGATATGAAGGGGTTGGAAAATGCAGCTTGTTGCAGTCACTTAGATGGCTCACTTTGCTAGTCTTGCCCTTTAGAATAATATTTACAGTCATGAGGGGGTAAAGCTCCACCCTTGTTCAATGGGACTGTTTTGTGTATCAAATCATGATAAAAATAATTTGTTTTTCTGGACAGATGAGACCAAAGTGTTTAACCATAATGTATTACACCAAACACAACATATCAATAGAAACACCTCTCAAGTGTCAAGCCTAGCGGTGGAGAGATGATGGGCACTTTACAGCCATCAAATCAACCATCAACTCCTCCTTAAACCATAAGTATTGTAGAGTCAAACATGAAGCCATCTGTCAGATGGCTAAAGCTTGGACCAGTGGTGGATGATGGTCTTTTAAGAAGGGGAAGCTCAATTTCGGCCTACATCATAAAATGTGCCAGTTTATTTACACATAAATTCTACCATCCGTTCCTTTTCAAGAAAATGATCTGTGACCCGGTCACAGATCATTTTACAGCACTTCCAGTCAGCCAATTCACTTTGCCATACCAGGACAGCTGAAAAGACCTGTTACTTTTCCCCACCTTTTGCACCAAATTAATCTGAGACATTCAAACTGTCCACCATTGTGTGCAGCTTGCTACCAAGCTAGCTCGCTAGCTGGGACTGGCGCAAGGCTAGTATGAAGTGTGGCTGCCTGTGAGTGCTTCGCGATGGTGCACCCGCTGGACAGAAACTGTGATAGAAGTCAGAAAGAGTGATAGAAGTCAGTCTCCAAACACAAGCAGCTACAAAAAAAAATAAACACCAGAAATAGAAGCTCGGTTTGTTGCTAGTCGCTTTTTAACAAAGAAAATGCCGCTAAAAGGATTAATAATGTCTCCGGTTCAACTCAGAACAGAATGAAACTTAAAAAATGCTCGGATGTGTACATGAAAAGTTCACTGATTCGCTCATTTCGCTGTCAATCAAAAAGGGATTCAGCCTCAGACTGATCATCCAATCATCATGCAGAAGCTGAGGGTCCGGGTCGGCAGAGGCCAGCCCACTGTCCCATAGACCCCCAGAGACGCTGAGCGTCCGATGGGTGGGACAAAGCCAGCATTTATCCAATGACTCGTCTCGTTTCGCTGCAGTCTTTGTATCACTAATGAGCTCTGTAGACGCTCAGCGTCAGACGGTTTAAAGCACTGTGAAGCTGCTGGAATGAGTGAGAGGAAAGTCGAGTCGTTACCAGTGATAAAAAGCTGAATCTGAACAAAAGTTGAGCGTGTTGTAGCGCAGTGGTTCCCAAACTTTTCAGCTTTTGACCCACAAAATACCAGCAGCAGAGATCTGTGACCCCAGGTGTTGTTGGTTGATGAACATTGTTTCCACGTCAAATAAACAAGAGCATAGTAACATTTTTATTAAGCTATTTTTGTCCATTTTAAGTAAACCAATGTTACTCTTTTGTAACAACAAAGGCAAAAAATTGTTGGTAGTTGTAATTTTTTAGTGTAATTAATTCAGAAAATCTTTTCAGGACCCCACACCTTGATGTTTCGGGGCCCCACTGTGGGTCCCAACCCCAACTTTGGGAACCACTGTTGTAGCGCATATTTAGTCAATGACATGCACACACAACRGTATGTACTTGATCATTTGACATTTTAGGGGAATCTGAGCTTCCCTCTCAGTATTAGAGCAATCGCTTCTGGCCTGGACCAAACTGAGTTGTACATCAGGACAATGCCTGAATGACTGAAAAGGAAAAACCAAGGTGTTGCAGTGGCTTCCTGGAAAACGTCAATGGGGTTTCCCTTGAACTATAAAATGTCCTTGCAGAAAATAACGTCTCTGCTTTGTCCGGCAGAGCCAATTTCTCAAAATCCATCCACAGCCATGTAAAAGATTGATAGTCATACAGAAAATGGCTACTTCAAGTTATTGGTACTAAAAGTGGTTTCTAGGCTACTAAATCATGGGTTGACTCAAGCACCCAGTTTGCTCCATCCAAACTACCAAAATCAGTTCTTATAGTTGGAGTTTCATGACGAAAAATTCCCAAAAATACAGGTGCTGGTCATAAAATTAGAATATCATGAAAAAGTAGATTTATTTCAGTAATTCCATTTAAAAAGTGAAACTTGTATATTATATTCATACATTACATACAAACTCATATATTTCAAATGTTT